AGGTTTGAACCTGCCACCCTCGGCATATGGGGCTGGCGCCCTACTCACTGAGCCACAGGCGCCACCCCAACACGCAAGTTTTAAAAGACTCAAGTGGTCTTTTGTGACAGGAGGAAAGACTGAGACATTGGTTACGTAGCTTCAAACTGCTCCCCCACAAAGTGTCTCAGGGCAAGAGCCATGGTAAGAGACTAGGTTTAGTTTGAGATGTATGACACGTCACCCCCCCCCCCCGAAAAAAAAGCACAGAAAGTGCTTCTATCTCCATTCTCATGCAAGCATCATAGTGCCCGAGTACAAACACATGCTGATCGGCACACACACCCCAACATGCCTTACACACTCGCACCGGCGTCTCCATCTACGAGGTATACAGCTACGCCCTGCCCTTAACCACTGGCAATGACCCAAGACAAACGTGATCCGCCTCTCCCTTGAATCACCTGTCCCTGACTTTTCTGACCAAGATCAAAAGGATGCAAATGCGCAGAGAACCACTGTACGTACCTGACGCAAAAGTACAACACCACGGGTCCTGACTTTTTAGGGAAGTCATGTTCCAAAACTCTTCGATCTAGTTGAAGCCAGTTTAAGTGCCCCCTGAGGAAAATAAAAAGAAACTGGTTAAGGCTTTGGATTTTGCAGAAGCTTTTCGGGGTGGGGGGACCTGTGGAGCAGAGCGTGCTGGTTGGTAGGTGACCGTGTTAGCTTGTCTGTGTTGGGAGAACCTGAAAGAATTCCCTGGGGAATGATGCTGCCGTAGGAGACACAGCGTGACATTCGCGGGTAGAAAAGGCCCCAGAAAGTCCCAGGGTTGAGACCTGCTGTCTGTTTCCTGGGCTCCACTGCAATGAAAATTGAACTATACACAGTGTCTCAAACAATTATAATCCCATCAACTACACGACCCCATCTACTCTTGGGAAAAATGAAAGTATCTGTCCACACAAAGACCTTTATATAAATGTTCATGGACATTTCATAGATACGGTCACAGACCCCAACTTGAAACAATCCCAATGTTCTATCAACAGCAGAGGGGACAGAAACTGTAATATGTCTGCACAGTGGAATAAAGAGAATTTACCGTGATGCACAGCAGAACCTCCATAGCTGGCCACCTCCCTACACTGACCACCTCCTTAAGTTGACCTAATTTTCATAGACTGGACACGCACCATACCTATGTATCAGCGCAGTGGCCTCATTCCTTACTTGGCCACCTCCCTGTGTCCACCAGTCTGTTACAGTCCCTTGGGTGGTCAACTCACAGAGGTTCTCCTGTGTATAGCATGATGAATTTCAAAATAATTACGCTGAGTAAAGCAAGCCAAAATTAAAAAAAAAAAAAAAAAGAGTATCTCCTGTATGACTCCATTTTTTTTAACTATAGAAAATGCACACTAATCACAGAGATAACAAGCAGGTCAGCTGTTGCCCGGGGTGGCTGAGGGGTACAAGAAGAAACATTCTGGGAGTGCTGGATATTCTCCCTACCCTGACTGTGGCCATGGTCCATGGGTGTGAATGTATGTCCAAACTTACCAAACTGTGCACTTGAACATTGATAGTTCATTGTGTGTCGATTCTGCCTCATTAAAGCTATTTTAGAAACTGAACCCCAGAGCTTATTTGCAAATCGAGGCACTGCTGTGTTTCTTCTCTCTCTCCTTTCCCTCCCGAAATATTCACGGGCCACCTCAGTAAAGCCTCTGGGGATGCAGCAGCCAGCGAAATACACAGGTTCTCAGCCCCCTGGAGCTTATACTCTTGTAAGGAGACACTCAGCAATTGTTTTCTGTAATTAATTACATAATTGCTAATGGCACTAGGACAAGTTAGGAGAGCATTCAGTCTGGGGGCACAGGAAGCACTGCCTGTTTAAGCTGAGATTTGAAGAAAGAGCAGGAGTTAATTCCACAAAGGGGAGCCACTTCTCAGGCTGACAGCAGCATGTGCAAAGGCCCTGGGGTAGGGAGGAAAGAGATGAAGCTGGAGAGAGCCTTGAAGGCCATGTGGGGAGGCTGGTCTTCGAAGCATGAGGCAGAGGCACAGAATAGCTGTGTGCAGAAGAATCTACTCCTCCCCTTACCAATCTCCATCCATTATTCTGAAGGACAGAGTCCAGTTATCACTTTACCAGCGGTTCTCAACCTATGGGTAGAGACCCACAGGAATTGTATGAAAGGGCCACGGCATTAGGAAGGTTGAGAACCACTGCACTTTACTAAACAAACTCACACAGTAAACTCACAGACCCTGTGGACGTGGGTCTCCCCAGGCACGATGCTGAGTGACTCCAATGTTCATGATGCACATGCGTGTGCAAAAGGCTGGCACTTGAGAAAGAAAATCCATCCGCATCACTGTCTGAAACTGCTCCTCTGAGCAGACGCTTGCTTCCAACAAAGGACTGTGAGAAAGCACGCTAGGGGCTTCCACCCCTTTTCTGAAACTTTGCCCCAAATGCATCTTTTTACAAGAAAATAAATCCCTCTCAACGAAGCCCCCTGGCTGTGAGGACGCTGATGTTTGGATTTGCCTCAGAGTGGTGTCTGCCTGAGGAATTCTGGCCTCTTTTTCTCCTTCTAAAAATCTCCAGCTGAGGGTGGCGCCTATGGCTCAAAGGAGTAGGGCTCTGGCCCCATATACCAGAGGTGGTATGTTCAAACCTGGCCCCAGCCAACAAAAAAAAAAAAAAAAATCTCCAGCTGAAAAAAAATTCCATTCACTTAATTTTTTGACTATCTTGGTCTGAATCCAGGAAGGGTTAAAGAAATGAAGGGAAGATTGTGAGTCAAATGTCCAGACACGCCATCCTTAGCCCAGCGGGTTTCTGCACTTCCCGTCTATGGAATTACTCCGTGGACACGTTCATTTTCTCCAGCGGATTTCTCATCCCTGGTCAGTGTCAGCAGCTGTATCTCAGAAGGTGAAAGTCAGCAGGTTTGATCCACTGGTGGGTGTCAGATTATCATAAGCTACAGCCCCTGCCTTCCTGGCTCTGATGATGCCCCGAACTCCCAGGGCCTCCTCCCTACACGCAGGTGAGGTCAGAGGCCACACTCTGTACCTCCACCCGGTCGTGCCAGTTCTCCCAGTTGGAAGTCAGAGCATTGCTTCTCTATCCTCTTTACTTGAACACTCGGCCCCTGTTCAAGGCTGAGTTCAAGCCTGACTTTCAGTGAAGTATCCTTGATTGTCTGAGTGTGGGGCTTCTTTCAAACTTTTCCAGAGCTTCGGGTTTGTGTTGTCGACAAGGCATTTGGTGGACTCTCATACAATGAGTTATTTTTAAAATAGGAGCTGAGTTAAGAGTAACTAAGTTATAAGTTTTCACCATTTAAAAAAATTATCCCCAGAATCTAACACAGCGCCTGGCAGATACTAGGTGTTCAAAAGAAGTGCTTGTTCGCGGACTGAATGACTGATTACCTGCAAGAGCAATCCATCCCTTGCCCAGGAAGATCTGAATATTCATCTTTTGCCTTGCAACACTTCTGTTTTTAATTTTTTAGAAAATTTCTGATCAATGTGAGGGTACACGTGATTAGGTTACATTGTTTGCTTTTGTGAGGAAGCATCTGAGTTCCTTACAATATTTCCTGATAAATGGTCTGCTGGGAACCACCTTTATTCTCGCAAGAGAAATCTTTAAATCACTTGCAGACTAGAATAGTATAAAAGCACCATCATTTTTTATTGTCTGCAAGCTCGAGGAATACATGGGTCATTATGAAAGCTTTGGGATACACAAAAATTAAGAAACGGAGAATCCACGTGGACAGGAACAAATGGAGCCCTCCCCGCAGCATGAAAAGCCGAGCAAGTTGAAACTCGGGTGAATCAGAAAGGACACTGTCGACTGTGTTTCTTGGAAGTGAAATACTGGCCCATAGCACAGTCTGTCTCAAAACTTTCGTAGTGACCTGGAAAGAAGGACCTGAGAGGTAGAATGGTCCACACGTGCCCTCAAAATCAGACCTTGCCCAGGCTTGAGAAATTCTTGCCTTGTTCCAACGTCCCCATATTACTGACCACGCAGCCTGACGGGATGAGACTTGGGTCCCTGGGGGCGGTCACTCACGTGTGAACCATGCAAGGTGCGGACTTGATTCAAGAAGCGCCAGAGGCAGGCGTCACTCGGACCCAGCTCTGCCAGGACCGCACACTACCGATTCTTCACTCACGTGGACGGGAGACACTATGACGGAGTCCCTCTCTACATAATTTCATTCCTCACATTAAATGTTTTTAATTGAATGACTAGTTTTTTAAATGAACGACTTTTTAAGCAATGAATTAAACTGGAAATTCTTTTGCTCCCAGCCAGATATTGCTTTGACATTTATCTATTAAAGGACCGGAAAGGAAAGAGAATGATTAGGAAGCAAAGACCCCAAGGAGGCAAGAATCACCCTCCACGGAGTAGCTGCCCCTGTGGACAAAGGACCTGCCTTTCTCTACCGCCCTGCTGAACTCTTCCTCCCCAATTTTGTGCGGATGGTGGGAAGCACGCACTGGCTGGCTCTGAAGTTCAAGGTGGCGGGGAGCACTTTCCTGCCCCGGAGTCCTCGCACCCTCAGGGGAAGAAAGTTGTCTCTTTCAATGTTTTGAGTTTATAAAAGTCTCTCATGGAAGGCTGATCAGGAAGGGACAGAGTGACAGCACCAACAACCCATCCAAGGTCCCTCATGATAACTATCTGCTATGGATTTGGGCTAAGAGATGGATCGCAAAGCAAACTGGTAACTATAATTCCGGGGCCCCCAGGTTTGGCTGCAGTAGGACTTGTTAAAACGTTACGGGCCCTAAATCACATTCCCTGCACCCAAGAGGGTCAAAGATTCCGCACCGCAGAGGGCCTTTTCTTTCCTATTTAACACCCCCCATCCTGACCTCGAGTGCCTGCCTCAAATCTTTTGTGTTTTCCCTTTCCGTTAGGATGGCAGGAAACTCCAAGAGGTAAAGGAGCGTTTCCTGTATACAGTTTAACTAAGAGATGCCCGATAGCTTTGTTTTCAATGATTCTCATTGATTTTTCATTTGAGAACGCCCATCAGTACATTTGCCAGCAACAACGCAAAAAGCACACCAGCAGCCCGAGGATTTTTGTTATTATGTGACCGATAACGATCTTTAAAGCCAAGCCAGATAACACTCATTTGGTTTATGGGTGCAGTAGGTCAAAGTGTCAGGTCAGTAATAAATATGCAGTCGCTTCTGGGCAACAGAAATTGGATGCATTTATTTAACAGATTCCTTTTAGCTTCTGCATTTAAAACTAATAGATTTTTTTAGTTCAAGTGTTGGCACTTTCAATCTGGATGGCCTCGGGCAGAGCTTTGTTTATAGTTACTGGAGGGTGGAGGAGGGTGACGGTCTATCTGAACCCACGCTTCTCAGAGGTGGTTGGGGAGAAGCCACCAGCCTTTTAGACGCACAGAATTCTTACGGATGCGACTGGTTGGAGGCAGAGTGGGGAACGCTTCAAATGGCAGAATGTTTAGCTATTTGGTGTCCTTGACTCAGAAGTATCTGTGTTCATCGGGACAGCCTAGGGACAGCGATTTAACTAGAAGCTCTCAAGAGCAGAGAAA